TAGTCAGGAGCCATGCTCTCACACTGTCTCAGGATCCCAATACCCCAAGTTGATCCGGACAATGCCTTCAAGTTTGTTTGCGATTTGGATTCCAAATCAGTATACCTAAGCTAACTCAAATTTTTGGATACAAATTGTATGTGATCAACCCTGTTTAGAATCCCACGTGATAGAAGGCTCAACTAATCCGTAATTTTTTGACAGTAATCTTCCGTGTTCTTCAGAAAAGTTGTAATTCCAATCCTGGTATCCAGGAAAACGTTTACATACTTGAAAAAACTTTTTTAAAAGCATTCGAGCGTTATATCTTAAAAACTCGTGTATCGCTTAATTTATCAATTTTATTCACATTCGAACAAAATATACTGCTTCTAGCGTTATCTCGTTACCTACTTGCCGGTGAAGAATCGTCATGGACAGCGATGATGCTTGGATATCTACTTGTTTCCGTTGGGAATCTGATATATTGCTATTCGTTCAGGTATGCAGTATGACGTTCTGTGATTAATGGAGAGATAAAATGATTTCAGCTCACAAATTCGTATGTGGTCTAATCACTTAGCTATCGCTGTGTCTTTGTACCTTGTAATTCTATGTTATCACTGCTTTGCCGACTTAGTGATGTCTATACCTTCTTTGGTGATAGTTTTACTTCTTGCTTTGGCTTCTTCTTGCGTCACCATCGTAGGAGCCGGATCTGTATGTCAGTACGGACATGTTGGAGACTATGACTCTAACCAGGTTTGCATAAGGAAATATTTTCTATTATTCTCGTTTATTTTATTTATATTTTATTCATTAAGGCCTCATACATTCGTCTAGTTGGAGCAATTTGTCAGACAGCAGGCAGCTCTCTGTTTGTTTACAACTTGTTTGGTGAAAGATCCGACACTTTGCAAATGATATCGAGATTGTCATTCTATTTTGCTCAAGGTCTTCTTTTCTTCGCAAACGAAAGGACTTTCTAATACTGTGATAAGCTCCTACTTACCGGTGTTGTAAAATTGCATTTTGCTAGCGGGATACTTAATCTTGTCATTTGATTGATTGTAGCACTTTTTATGCGTTTGCACAATGAGTCATCGAGCTTAATAAACTTGTACGCTGTATGTGTAGAGGCGATGAGAGCCTACATAACAGTACCCAATTCCTTCAAAAAGATTTCTTGGTCTGCCTTTTACTTTCTTCATGCACTGACATGCTAAACATCAGCATTATCGTAGATTATTGATGTCAGCAGCTTATTCATTCAAAACATAAAAAGAAGGTTGGGCCTAGCAGAAAACCTAGTAGATGTGATGTGATCATGGTCCCTGAGTGCACAAAAAAAA